GTTGTATAATCGTCCAATAAAAAATCATATTAATATATGATTTTAATTATGGAATTAAACCCTATTATAACTGCTGAAACATATTGATGAATCTGACTCAAAAATAGTCCAGGTTCATTGCATCAATATTAAATTGTTATAACTCTTGTAACTCTTGATATTAACAATTTGTCTCTCCCTTGAACAAAGTTGTAAATCAGTCCATATACATTTTAACGTTCTGATTAATTTAGAAAAATAATTATTAAATTTATTTAATTTCAAACAACTAATTAGTCAGATGTTATCATCTAAAATATTTTAATTTAAACAGTCCTCAGCAGCCTATAAACATCAGATGAAATCTTTCACATTTTCATTTGTTCTTTCAAAGAGATATTTCACACGAATTTTTTCTAAAAAGATAGTATTCGCAAGGATGTGTTGAAGACACGTATTACCGAGATTAAACGGACGGACGGTGACGGCGGTGATTGAGAGTCTCATTTGTTATCTATCACTCAACAATGGAGTAGAGTATGCAAACTTTAAATACTCATTCTCACTAGTATTTTTAACTCTATATGGGATTAAACATTACCAATAATCCCCCACTAATGTGAAAGAATTCTTCTGAAACTTGAAAACAATCCTTTCAGAAGAGCAATGGTGAGGTTAGTTGCTTAAGCCCTAGTGAACGTATCTTGAACTAGTATAGTGATGATGAACAATCATTCTTTTGGATAAGTGAAACTAGTACATAGTACATAGGGGTAAACTCATAACACACAACTAACCCCTTTATCCACTTGAGGCCTTGATGTGTAAGATATATATACAAAAGTATATATTTGGCCATCTTACCTCAGGATTCTAGTAAGTGTGCTAGAAAAGAGGCCCAATGTTTTTCATCGAATGCGATTAACCATTCTCACTTACATATATTATTTTATCTGGTTTATCTCGACATAAATCACCCTTAACAGGGCTATGAAATAATAAAGAGCTTTAATAATGGCTCAACCTCACAAAGTGTATGGTGATTTTCTTCAAGTTCATTACTAATGAACCACCCAAACTCTGGGATAAGAATCTATTAAGAATAAATATTCAACCTCATTAATCGATAAATTCAATAAGTCCTTCTCACTAGGACCATCTGAACTCTTGGAGTTGAATTTACTAAGAGTTTAACAAACTCAACCTTTCTGTCGGTAAGTTAATTTTGTCCTTCTCATTTAGAACTACCCACTCACTCTGAGTTATGAACTTATTAAGAATAGATATTCAGCCAAAGTCGGTAAATTCATAAAGTCTTTCTCACTAAGACCACCCTTAAATGCTCATTCTCAACAGTATTTCCAACTCCATGTAAGATTGAGCATTACCAATTAACAATAATTAACATGAACCCACGCCCTTTCACCGCTCAACCCAACACCCATTCATAATGGAGCCGACTGGATTCACATTTTATTTTTTTGCTAAATTTACTATTTAATACATAATTTATTTTAATATTTTTATTTTAATTATTTATATTTTTTAATAAAATCATACCTAACATTATTTATTTTATTTTGAATATTATCATTAAATTAATAAAGAAGGTGACATTATATAGAAAATAATAATTTAATCTCAAAACTTATAAGTTCTGTTAAATTCGTCTTAATTTAAAATAATTCAATAAATATTTAAATTTAAAATTAATTAATTAATTTTAATTTTAATTCAATAAATTTAAACAACCTTATATGGCTAGGAGAATCATTATTTCGTTGATCATCTTCATTAGATGAAAAATTTTAAAATGTAAAATATATTTTAAGGGTATCGAATCTAAGATAACTATGTGAAGGAACATATAATCACTATGCCAAACTTGATTATCAATATTATAATCACAAATATATTTATCATCTTAACTAAACTAATTATTTAAATTGATTATTTTCAATTATAATGATAAAAAATAAAATTAAAATACAATTTGATAAAATGTTGAAAAAGGAAACAAGACAAATCATACATATCGTATCATAGGAATTAAGGTTATAAATAAAACAAAAAAATATCATCGATTAATAATTATATGGTTTAATTATCCCCATAATTTTTTAAAAAGATATCTCTTGCAAAATTACTATAATTAATAATATTAATAAATTTTAATGAGAATTTATATTTAAGTTGACTAAGCAAAAAATAGAATTTTTATTTTTCATATTTGAAATATTTTTCTTTAAATCAAATGTATTTGTCATTTTTTAATGAAATTATGAAATTTATAATAAATATATATAATTAAAATGTATATTATAAATATTTATAAAACTGAAAAATTAAAATTAAAATACAAAAAAATTATTAGAAAATTGGAAAATTGATATTAGACGAATATTTATAATTTTGAAATCGATCCAGTCTAAAATTAAAAAAAAATAATTCAAAAGTTGACTTTAAAAAACCCATCCTCATAACCGAACGGGTAAAACCGTCGGTTCAATATTCTTTTTCCGTTATGTGATATTTTCGAATGTCGTACATTTTGCTGAACAAATTATGTTGGGAAATATGGGCTAAGTGCCAAAAGGCCCAATAAATGAGGTTATAAGCTAAGGTTCACGTGATCAACGTGGAACATAAAGGAAGAAAAGTTTATAAATAACTATTCAAATATTAAAGGACTAATATATTTTTCATTTTTGCATCACCAAGATAACGTTGAAAATTAATATTTTCGCTAATAATATGCAACATAAATATTTTAAGCTGCATTTACAAGGCCATTTCCTAATTAGATTTGGTCTACTTATATATGGGATGGAGATTTTAATTAATTTAAACTAAACCTAGAAATTTAAATTTTTTATTTAGATTTGACTTAACTGGACATTTGATAATTCTTCATTTGACTCGAATTATAAAAAAATTATATAAATTTTAGAGTTAAAAAAATTGTTTTTATTTGCATAATAAGAATAATAAATATATATATAAAAAGAAGAAGAATATAGTAACTATTACTTTTGTTGCGTAAAATTATAGAGGTAATTGGAAAAAATAGAGAGTGTTATTATATTAATTATTTCTAAATATATATAAAAAAAATTATATTATTATCCTAGGAGAAACCGATGCCCGGATGTATGTGTGTCAACACTGATGGCGATGTTGCAAGTAATTCGATGCGAAGTGCTGCAAGGGGTTTCCTCTGTGACTGTGAAGGAAACTGGATGCTCGGATTTATGTGTTTCAATGGCTTCTGCTCTCCGCTCCAATCTGAGCTATGGGAAATCCTCACTGGTTTAACCATTGCTTGGGATCAGGGATACGAAAAAACTATTCTTCAATTTGATTGCTCCGTTGTTGTGAGGTTAATTAATGATGATAACGTCTCTGATTCTCATTGCTCTTTGATTTGGGCAATTCGACGACTACAGAGACGAGAGCATGTGCAAAACACATCGAATGGATTTCACGCGAAGCTAATACAGTTGCAGACAGTTTGACTAAAATGGTGTTCTCAAATCAAATGAGTATTACTTTACTCGATTCTATAACTTCAAACATCATTGAACTAACTACAAGGGATGTACATGGCCCTAGAGATGGGCATGAGACCGAACCCGATTGGGTCAAGTTTATAAAAAAAATGGGTTCGAGTCGGATTTTTTTAAAGGTGATGTTCGGTCGGGTTGTATTCGAATTTATGGTAAAAAATACCCGATGAAAAAAATATAATTTTACCTTATATATTTAAGAATAATTACAATATACCTCATATATGTTAATTTTTTTCAATTAAATCACTATTTTCATTGAATAAAAATAATATTTTATTATTATTTATGTTCGGGTCGGATTGAGTTTGAATTTTATCTCAAAAATTGAGTCTGGTTCAAGTCCGATGGAATGTATATATTTTTCGGGTCGGAAGATCCCGGGAACAACTAGCGTCTTTGGAAAGATGACCGAAGTACATGGCTTCTTCAAGCTCAGGCCAACCCACCATGGTTAGCTTCCTTCTCTTCCTCCCTCCCTCCCTTTCTTCAGGAAATGCTAGGTGCTCCGGCCGTCTTCCAGAAGACACCATGTGCTTCGGCCTCCAACGTTCACTGTAGCTTTCACCCCATTTCAAGAAATAATTTTTTTGTTCTCCCGTTTCAGCCATTTTTTCCCAAAGTTCCATGGGAGCAAAATTACCCTTTACTTTCAATAGAAAAAAAATAATCTTAAATTGATTCTGACCAACCCTATTTTATTATTCCTAATTTGTTGTGCCTTAATCATGTTAGTATTGCTGGTCATAATTTTCGTTAAAACATGAAACTGAAAAATTATTATAAATATTATACACATATATATAACTTCTCAATATGTACACTTGTTAATTTCAAATTTAGTAAGTCAAAGGTATACATTTTAAACAACCAAACTAGAATATTTGTTTCACTAATATTAAGTTAAGATTGATTTTTATAATATTAAAATTTTAAAAAAATTAATAATTTAATAAACATGTTAAGATGGAGTTATAAATTTAAAATCCAATAATTAAAATTTAATTTGCTCTAAATTACCTCCCCGGCTGTAACTCATTTCCTCCAAATCCCACACCAAGAAAAAGATAAACGTGTGAATGTGCAATTCCCACGTGCTAAACACCTTAGCTTAGTGAGTACCTATATTGTCTTAGCTGTAAAAACAAACAAAATCGAACACCTGGAACTCGAATTGGAGATTAGACCTTTGTTTTTCGGCTCCAATGTGGGACCTTTGGAACTTCAGAGCTGGCACTCTATCATATGCGTGTCCGTGTCTAAATCGCACTCATTTGCCCCACGCCCTTTCCTCGCAAAACTATTTATATCTTCCTCTCACTCTCTTTGCTGCTTCAAAAATTCCAAACCCAAAATCCACAAGCTTTCTAGGAAAAAAGATTCAACCACCAAATCCAAACTGAACCCAGATTCCATAATCCCAAACAGTTGATCTTAAAAAATTTGACCAGCACAATAAACCCACAACTTTTGTTACCCATGGATATTTCAAGCAAAATCTCTGAAACCTGCAAGTCTTATTCCATGCGAGCTGAAAGGGTGGAGCCATCTTCATCGTCTGAAGGGGGCATTGGACGCCGGGCTGTTCACTCCGATGAGGAAGTTCTTTTACTAGCAACCAACAGGCCTAAGAAACGTGCAGGGAGGAGAGTATTCAAGGAGACGCGCCACCCGGTTTTTAGAGGCGTTCGAAGAAGGAACAATGATAAGTGGGTATGTGAATTGCGGGAGCCTAATAAAAAGACTCGTATTTGGCTCGGAACCTATCCCACCCCAGAAATGGCTGCTCGGGCACATGATGTAGCTGCATTAGCATTCAGAGGAAAAGCTGCCTGCCTGAATTTCGCCGACTCTGTTTGGAGATTGCCTATTCCGGCTTCAAACGATGCCGCCGATATCCGGAGAGCAGCAGCTGAGGCGGCCGAAGCATTTAGGCCTCAAGAACTCTCGGGTAGCTACGCCAGGCAGGGAAGTCTCAAGGCTTCCGATAGTGAAGTTTCCAGCAGCGACGTTAACAAGAAAAAATGGGCAGTTGAAAGCGAGTTTTCGACGGAGAAAGTTGACTTCGTGGATGAGGAAGAAATGTTCTACATGCCGAAGCTGCTGGATAGCATGGCTGAAGGGCTTCTACTCTCTCCGCCGAGGAATCACGATGAAGCCGACAGTGATTTCGATATGTCTTTATGGAGTTATTCAGTCTGATCACCTTGTCGGGACTAAATGTACAAAGTAGTGCAAGTGTTTGTGTAATATATTGTTTTCTTAAGTTTTTAGATATGGTATTGACGTTGAATTTGAAGTAGTCAAGGGCATGTAAGATGTACGACTTGTACTAGTTTTCCCTCTGTTTTCAACAAAGTCATCAAGAGAATAATTTTATTATTGTTGGTATTTCATTATGAATCCAAAAGTTGATTCCGAAGAGCAACCAACATGTTTGAACTTTGCAAATATTGGATGGAATCAAATCAATATGGAGTAAAACCACACGGAACCGGTCTCCTGGCCCCCTTTTTTGCTTAATCATAGATTTATCCGATTTGATATATGAAGCGCGTGGCAACGTAAATGGTGTCACATCACTAATGACTCCATGCTTGTATCCGCTTATTCTTATCAAGTCAATGAAGATCTTTCATGCAAATAGAAATTTTAGCTTTTAAGGGTAAATACTTTTTTTTACTCAATTTTTTTCAAAATAAATTTTATTAATTTTGGTCATTTTACTGTTAAATATTCAATATTATTTATTATTTGCAAATTTATAAGAAAAATCTATTTTTCTCTTCTTTTTTTTGGAAAAAAAATCTTTAAAGTTCATATAGCTTTTAGTTCGCCAAAGTATTTTTTACATTTAAGATGATTAAGAGATAAAGAAAAATTTCATATCAAATCAATATAATTTGAATTGAAACTTTGATTTATGAAAAAAGTATAACATTATAGAAATAAGACACATTTTTCGTGAATGCAACAAATATGCAAACCATCTCGCAAATCTAGCATACGAACAAGACGAGATGTTAGCTATTTTGTAGGAACCACCGACGAGTTTAATTCATTTACTTAGAAGCGATGCTAGGGAAGTGGCGATGAGGAGAGTGTAGTATTGATATAGTAGTTTCTTCGTCGTTTACAAAAAAATATATCTATTATTATTTAAGAAATAGATAATTAATCATTTTTATATTTAAATTGATGTTAAATTTACTCGTAATTTAAATTCAATATAGTATTTTACATATAATATATGTAGGATCTCTCCTTAATTGGAGAGGTTCTAAAAAATTCTAGAGCTTTCTGAGAAGTGTAGAATTCCCTCATAACAAAGCCAATTTAATTCAACGGTTGGTGAAATTGGAGTATAAGGATGGTCAAAGTATGATTGAGCACTTAAATAATTTCAAGGGGCTCGTAAATCAATTAACAAAAACCAAGATGAAAATTGATTATGAGTTGCAAGCCCTTTACTCCTTAGTTCCTTACCGGAAAGTTGGAATACACTCGTTGTTACACTTAGTAATTCAGCTTTGGAAGGAAAGCTCACCATGGATACCGCTAGTGATAGCCTCCTCGGTGAAGAAGCAAGGAGAACGAAGTGAGTCTATTCATCCCGAAACTAATATTATTGAGAATCAGGGTAGGAATGAAACTCGTGGATGTAACAAAAGCCGAGATCTACATCAATCCTGAGGTAGATCCAATGTAGATCTAAGTCATGCTCGAAGATTACATGCTATTATTATGGAAAGATGGGCCATAAGAAAATATAATGTCTATCCTTTAAGAGAGACCAGAAGGTCGGTAATGTTAAGCCAGACCAAATCAGCCCAACAAAGAAGCAAGAAGATAATAGTACTACTGTCGTAGTATCAAAAGAAGATTTGTTATATCTCGTTGATGAAGGTAATATCCTAAACATTGCTTATGATGATAGTTCTTGGATTGTCGATTCCGGTGCTTCATTCCATGTTACTCCACATGGAAGTTTATTCTCTTCCTACCGAAGCGGTGACTTTGGTTAGGTGCAAATGGGAAATCAAGACAGAAGCAAGATCTTCGGGATAGGGGACAACATCCTGACGACAAGCATTGGATGCAAGCTTATCTTAAAAGATGTGAGGCATGTTCCGTCCATGCGCCTCAATCTTATCTCTGCTGGAAAGCTAGATGATGCTGGTATGATAAATTACTTTGGTGAAGGAAAGTGAAAACTCACCAAAGGAAGCCTAATAATGGCTCGAGGAAAGAAGGAAAGGGCCATTGTACATGATGCAAGCTAAGCTCTGCAAAGGATATGTAAATATCACCACTGAAGATGTGGAAATATGGTATAAACGACTTGGGCACATCAGTGAGAAGGGTCTTCACATACTCGCTCAGAAACAACTCATTCCTGACATGAAAGGTAAACCATTTGATCTTTGTGCTCACTGTTTAGATGGAAAACAACACATACTTGCTTTCCAAAGATCTTCTCTGCCCACAAGGAAAAAAAACATCATAGACCTCGTACACACTAACGTGTGTTCGATGTCCGAGATATCAATTGGTGGTGCATTGTACTTTTCACCTTCATTGATGACCATTCAAGAAAGGTGTGGGTGCACCTGTTAAAATCAAATGATCAAGTATTTGACGCATTCAAAGAATTTCATGCCCTAGTAGAGCGTGGGACCGGAAAAAATATCAAGTATGTACAATCTGACAATGGAGGTGAGTATAAAGGTCATTTTGAAGCATATTGCAAGAAATATGGCATTAAACTAGAGAGAACTCCATGCAAGACACCACAATTGAATAGACTAGCTGAGAGAATGAATATAATTATTGAAGAAAGAGTTCGATGTGTGCTCTCTCATGCTAAGTTACCCAAATCATTTTGGGGAGAAGCTATAATGGCAGTGGTTGACATTGTCAACCTCATACCATCAGTTCCCTTTAATGGGGGCATCCCAGAAAAAGTTTGGACTAGCAAAAGGGATTCATACAATCATTTCAAGGTATTCGGGTGTAAGATAATTGTTCACATACCTAAAGATTAGAGAGCCAAGCTTGACGCAAAGACGAATGAATACATCTACCTTTGTTCACCTAAGGATGAATTTGGTTATCGACTTTGGGATCCAGTCAATAAGAAGTTTTTTCGCAGCAGAGACGTTGTATTCTTCGAATACTAAACAATCGAAGATATCAAAAATTCAGAGACGCCGAGATTGAGAAGCGACAAGAACACCGAACCTACTTCAATTCGAATTGAGGATAATAATACACAAGAAACAATGATGTTGAAGATCATGAACCTATGTTAGAGCAAAGCAACCAGGAGACTCATAATGAACCAGCTTAAGAAGAGCCTCAATCTAGCTCTCCAGTAGCACCAAAGCCGAGACGATACTCGAGAGATAGAAGACCATCCACTCGGTATAATACAAATGAGTACGTTATGCTCACTGATGAGGGGGAACCTCAAAGCAATAAAGAAACAATTAGTGATATTCATAAAGAAGAGTGGAGAAGAGCCATGTAAGAAGAGATACAATTTTTGCATGAGAATCATACTTATGAACTTGTGGAGCTACCAAAAGGGAGAGGAGCCTTGAATAATAAGTGGATATATCGGATCAATACCGAAGATAGTAGCTTAAAGCCTCGCTAGAAAGCTCGGTTGGTCGTCAAATGATTAACAAGAAAAATGTATATATTTTGAAGAAATATTCTCTCTCGTGGTAAAGATGGCATCCATCCAAATGGTCATTAGCTTAGCAGACGTACAAGATTTAGAGATTGAATAGCTCGATGTATAAGATTTGGAGATTCAATAGCTCGATGTATAAGATTTGGAGGTTGAATAGCTTGATGTCAAGACAACGTTCTTACATGGCGATTTAGAGGAAGAAATCTACATGGAGCAGCCTGAGGGATTCAAAGTTCCAGGCAAAGAAAATATAGTGTGTCGTCTGACTAAGAGTATATACGAGCTTAAGCAAGCACCAATGTAATGGTACAAAACTCTTTTATGGTAAAACATGATTTCAAAAAGACGGAAAGTGATCATTATGTCTTCACAAAAAAGTATGTAAGTGGCGACTTTCTCATATTTCTGCTATATGTTGACGGTATGTTAATTATTGGACAAGACCGCAATAAGGTAACTGCTTTAAAGAAAGAACTAAGCAAGAGTTTCGTCGTGAAAGATTTGGGATCGGCTAAACAAATCCTTGGGATGTGAATAACTCGTGATAGATCAAATAGACTGTTATGGCTATCCCAAGAGATATACATTGAGAATGTGTTGGTAAGATTCAACATGCACAAATCAAAGTCGGTTAACACACCACTTGTTGGATACTTCAAGTTGAGTTCGAAGTAGAGTCCCACAAGTGATAACAAAATTGAGGAAATGAAGAAAATTTCATACTCATTTATAGTAGGCAGTCTCATGTATGCAATAATAAACACAAGACCAGGTATCGCCTATGCAGTTGGGGTCGTGAATCGCTTCTTGGTCAACCCAATGAATGAACATTGGGCTGTAGCCAAATGGATCCTCTGATATCTACATGGAACTTTCAAAAGGTGTTTATGTTTTGGAAAATGAAAACTTGTGTTAGAATGATACTGTAACATCCTCCATGCCGGGTTAGTGATCAATTTGTAAAGTTTCAGCATTTGGTGATTTAAGTAGAATGATGGAAGAGTTCAATGACTTATTTGAGTTATTTTGTGTAGGATTAAATTATAAAGAATGAAGATTAGAATGACAAAATGGTCTTTTTATAGCAATATAATTTTGGGTTTAGTATTATATTAAGCACGTGGAAGAGTATGAAATTAAAACAAACTTCCAGAGTCATCTTCTTCTTTCTTCTTCTTCATACGTGAGACCCAAGCTAAGGTAAGATTTTCTTGTTAGTGAATTTCTTGACGAATGTATGGTTGATTAATGACCATTAGGCAATAGTTAAGCTTAAAGGAAGTTTAAATTGTTTTAAAACCTCAAGAGGAGAAGTATATGAAGAATTAAAGAAAGGAAGTAGAAAAGTGAAATCTTAGATTAGAGTTCATAATAAGAATTGGAAGTGAGATTTGACTTGTCATCAAGTTAATTAAGGGATATTAAGTGTTAGAATTGGAATTAGAACACCTTGAAAATTTAGTGTGATTCTTGAATGCCATGTAAATGATGGAATTTTGGGTTTAAAGAAGTGATTATGGAATAGAAATGCGTTTAAATATGTATATGAAAGTTAGGAATATTAAA